CCTTCGTGGGTTGCCTAGTAGTAGAAATAAACCCGGACGTCTGTCTGCAGTGAAGTCTCATTGAAAGTGGTGTGCAGAGAACAGGAACGGTAAGCACTCATTCGTCAAGGCGGTTCAGAAGGGGCGAGTTGTGGCATTCGGAGTATTTTCCACAAAATATGCCGAACCGTTGGGACGAGACGCGATTTCACGGGTCGGATTCAGCAAACATTTTAATTGTGGGCCATGGCGCTTCGGGGTGTTAGGGCGGCATGTGGTAAATAGCTAATGTTTGCCTTTTTTTTTTTTTTTGAGGCTTTTTTTGACACTTCAAGCACATCATTTTTGCCGTGCAGCTTTCTGTTTTTCAGAATGGCAGAATTTTTGCTGTGGAAGCCTGTAACCAGCGTGCGGGGGGGCTGTCCTGCTGCCGCGCAGTAGCGTGGGAGCACCGCTACCGCTCGCACAGGTTGCTGCTTCACAAGTCAGAAGCCAGGCAGACTTGGAAGCAGTAGCAGAGATGTCTCCGTTCATTGGATATATCAAATCCGACCTGCTTTGCGGCCTTTTTTTATTTTTCAGTAGTATGCAGTAAGTTTAGTTTTGTTTTATGTCAACATTTTTAGCCCTCTCTCCGTCAAAGCCTCATTGTTCTTCTTTGCTTCTTGCTTATATCTTCAACTAACAACCTATGATGGTTTTAACGATTATTCTACATGTTTATGTCAACATTTTTAGCCTGCTCTCTGTCAAAGCCTCATTGTTCTTTGCTTCTTGCTTATACCTTCAACCAACCAACCTGTGATGGTTTTAACGATTATTCTACATATCTCTATGATTAAAGATGGTCTACACAGTAGTAAATATTACGTAAAATCCTTTCTATGTCATCGGCCTGCTGGTCTGTGTTTATCTTCTGTCAAAAAGTACAACGAATGTATCCTGGAATCTAGCTGCCTGTTTGTACAAGCACAAATGATTAACCTGGAGTGTCGAAGGGAAGGCCAAAGATGGCCAAGAGGTGTATTTGCCAGCATCGTTCAGTGTGACCTTCCCTCCCCTTTTCTAAGGAAGATGTGGACGTACCGCTGTCTTGGCATGTCTTCAGGACTGACTTGAGTACTGCATTGAAGGCTGGCGTTAGTTCAGGTCCCATCCCTGTGTAAAAGTCCTTCATAGAATCATAGAATCACTGGGTTGGAAAAGACCTTAGAGATCATCCAGTCCAACCGTATCTGTCCACCACTAAACCATCTCTCTCAGCACCTCATCCACCCGTCTCTTAAACACATCCAGGGATGGTGACTCCACCAGCTCCCTGGGCAGCCTGTTCCAGGGCGTGATAACCCTTTCGGCGAAGAACTTCTTCCTTTGAGCAAGGAGGCTCTTCCTTCTAACTCACAAAGTGTGAATGGATGCAGTCGAGGTGCAAATTTGCCTGTTATTTGGCACTGGTACAGCCTGGGACCCACTGAATATTTTCATCACCTAATTTTTTTCCTTTCTTTTTCCGAGGTCCCAAAACACAACTGCCTCGTTTTTACACCGTGCAGCTGACAACCGCTGTAGCATCTTAGCACGGGAGCTGATAATGGTTGTACGTCTTGGCAGGGGGCTATGGGATGGGGTGTGTTACACGTGGATAGATCTGGTGCGGAGGCAGCAACGTGCAGCCTCTCTCTCGGGGCAGCCGCCATCCTGTGAGCACGGACAATCCGGGAGGAGGAACTTGCACACCAAGGCTTTGATTTTGTAGGCCGGGTCTGTTTACTCAGGGATGTTTGAAATGGTTCCTCACCCAGGCTGTCTTTTCCCTGCCTCCTCTCTGCAAATGCTGCTCTTGCTGCAGAGATGGGTGTCTGAGCGATGAAGCGGCAGCTTTCTGATGCAATTCTCAGCCGGGTTGTGCGGCCATCGGTGCCTCTGTGCTTCCCTTACTACACCCGTCTGCAGCTTGTTCCTGCGGCACCTCCGGAACCGCAGCAGATGATTCATTTCTGCTTTGGAAGCAGGGTGGACAACCTGGGGCTGGCAGGGGAACCGCTCAACTCGCTCAAGTTACATCTGCATTGAAGACATCCCCAGGGTGAATACTGACTTTGTATGAGGCTCGTCCTTTCTTCACCTCCTGCCAAATACGCTTTCACACTAGTACTTCACCCAGCTGGCTAATTGGCCTTTGAAATTATCTCAATAATGTCAGGTACTTAAAAAAAACATTCCCATCCCTTTATAAATATTATAATCTAGATGTAAAGACATTGTTTCAGTGTTGTTTGGGATCTGTTGTATTAAAAAAAATAATAAAAAAGTAGTTCTTAAGTGCTGTGCAGCAATCCAGAGCAGAGTATAAACAAATACTGTGTCAAGCTGAAACAAGTCGGTTGACTTTGAGAAGGCAGAATGTAAATGCCCAAGTCAGGAGAATTAGTACCTTTTGTAACGTTGCAATGAATGCAGCGAGATTGCTCCTGCGGACAAGCCCTAAATCTTTCTTGTTTAAAAGAAAGAAGAATAAAAAGCCCTTTGGAAGGATGGAGAGTGGGTACAGGTGAGGTTGGTGCAAAGTGCCTGGTTTGCAGGTAGGTATCCAGCCCGGTCCCCTACGCTGCCTCTGATACAGGGATAAAATTAATAATTTTTTAAGCCTTTGTAGCTGAATCTACCCGAGTTCACAGGTTTGGAGTAGCAGCAGTCAGACCGTGCTGGCACTCTTGCCAAAGTCCTGTTGGAGACAATGCATTTAAGGAGCAAATCTGGCGTGTTCTCAGCTTTACAGAGCAGGGAGGGGCTGTCTGCTCCGCCGCTGGCGTGGTTTCACGTCCCAGTCGCCCGTTGCTGACCTTTGTCACCTATTTTTTTACTGGAATTTAGAAACCTATGGCTTTTAAGTGATACAACACTTGAAAACATGTTTTTTTGCTCTAGCGGGTTTAATGTGCAAATAGTGGAACAGAGCCAGCGGTCCATCTCCGGCAGCCCGATTCTGGAGACTGCTCCATAAGGCTTTATTTCGCCTATTAGCTCTTGTGCCAATATTTTTCTTACAAGAAAGAGTAATGATTTTTTGCAACCTAAAATTGAGTGTTTCACAGGCTGCAACTGGAAATTTGGCAGCCGTGCTCTTCTGCTGTAGCCTGACAGCCCGTGGCAGAGGGAAAAGTGTTAAATGAACAAATATAATTCTGCAATAATAGCTTTAGAAACTTACTCTGCTAGTTGGGGCTAGAAAACACACCTGAAATACAGAATAAAGGTGGTAATTATATAGTCAGACTATATGCAGCTCGTTGGAGATGACATGCCTTCCCAGCTCAATCTGTGTTCTTAAAATTGGGGATGGGGAAGTGAAATGAGTTATTTGATTTAAAAAAAAAAAATGCAGCTCCACCACTCACAGGGACTTTAAAATTCCTTTTGGCTAATACTAGAACATACAAGTTCTGATTTTACCCGTACTTATTCCCTGTTTGCCTGGTATTTTATCCTCTGAAGCACTCGCCACAGGAAGAGGAAATTAAAGGTTGCTGGGTCGTGCTTCCATAGCCCAGTGGACGGTGACTCCGTAATCCTGTTTTGTTTCAAACTGGATTGCCATAGTCCTGCAGACTTCTCTTTTTTTGGTCAGCTGTTCAAAAAATAAAACGACGAGACAAGCTTTCGCTGATGATGCAGTTTGCCAGTGTAAGAAATAAGTCATTTTTAATCCATTCTAAAAATAGTTTCCTGGTGTAGCTGCTTTAATTTTTACTAAGACGGAGGATTTGTGTATTTTTTCCCATGACCATCTGGGTTAAACAGGGGACCTCCTTGGTCTGCTTGCTCGACATGTGGGGTGAGGCAGTTTTTATTCTGCTGGCTGTTTCAGGTGGGGAACGCTGCTCTGGGGTTGAGAGGTGGGATTCTAGTACCAGTGTAAAAAAAGTAACACGTTGTTCCAGTATTTCTGGCACCACATCTTCCCTTTCCCCGGTGTAGGGTTAAGGTGTGTGTAAACATCCCCGGTGGGACTGTAAGTCAGGAGCAAGGTGAGATGCTCCATTGGGGGTGGGGGGGGAATGGCCATTTGAGCATCTTCTGAGCATTCATTGTCATGCTGCAAGAGCAGAGCTGGGTGGGAAAGAGGCTCCCTCAAAAGTAGTTAGGTTTTCTATCGTTACCTTCCTCTCTTGGATCTTAGTTTTAGATAAGTTAGGGCTCTAATATGTTCACTTTTGGCTCTGTGGTTATTTTTTCTGGCCCCTTATAAGAGTTTAATGGATATTGGACAAGTTGGATTGCTTAAATCGGACTGAGCAGTCCTTATTGGAAAGCAAACTTGGGCTTGGAGCTGGTAGTAGACCTAGCAGAAACGGAGATTGATGCGAGTGTCCTGATCTGCTCTGCCCTTTAGTAGACTTGGAGAGAGGGAAATGCTGTCTCATTTGCGGCGCTAACAAAGGAATGCATCTTGATGCAATCTCTTACTCCGTGTATTGTTTCCTCCTGGGTGAGGTGCTGTCAGACCACAAAGCCTGTGGCTATTTGCACACTGCTTACCCTGTTACAGCATCCCGCCCGCGCGTCGTTGTAGGGTGTATCGCGCACCTTTCGCGTGCAGCGAGCAGGAGCTTGCACCGTATTGGATGGCACTTGGCACGGAGATCTCCTCCAGGAGCCCCAGACCCCATCTTGGTCTGTGTAATCCTTGTTCTGAAACGGGCGGGTTCTGAAACAACATGTGATTCTGGTTTAGCATTGGTGTAAACACGTAGTATCGAAAATTACGAGGTTTTAACACAAAGGGCCATTCATGAATTCTGCTGTATATTGTAACAATAGAACAAAAGCAAAGGAGTTTTTTTTTCTTTATGTAAATACATATTCCAAGCACAGATAAAGAAAACAATGCTTACATTTAATATTCGGGTGGCGTTTTATGAATTACAACCAGTAGTGTTGTAGCTGGTATGATTGCTGGAAAGCCCTTATTTTTTTTTTATGGTTTTAAAATTTCTCTGTCTGATGTTTTTGTTTTGCAGTATTATGTGCCAAGAATCTTGCAAAGAAAGATTTCTTCAGTAAGTACGCCCTGATTGTATAACCTTCTGCTCTTGATTAATCAGATTTATTTGTAGATTGCACATTGCTGTCGTGGCTCAGCTACGTGTGTCATTTGTGGTGTGGGTCCATTCTTGCGTTGCCACATGAGCACACATTACCCTGGGTTGTACTGAGATAGCCTAGGCTCTAGGATTGGAAAGACACTCAGGTCCTGGTTGAAAGCCTGGCTGGTGAGACCGCAGGCAGGTTGCTGCTTACAGTTCTCTGTGTGGGGCACCAGTATCGTCCATCTCAGATGACTCTTAGTGAAGCGTGCCAGGGGGGTGAGTCAAGCATCCCACTGCTGCAGCCTCAATATTATGTTAAGGACTGAACAAAACTCGTGGAGTCACAGACTGGTTTGGGTTGGACGGGACCTTAAAGATCATCTAGTTCCCCCCCCCCTGCCAGGGGCAGGGACCCCTTCCACTAGACCAGGTTGCTCCCAGCCTCATCCAGCCTGGCCTTGGACACTCCCAGGGATGGGGCATCCACAGCTTCTCTGGGCAACCTGTCCCAGTGCCTCCCCACCCTCTCCGGGAAGAATTTCTTCCTGGTGTCCAATCTAAACCTCCCCACTTTCAATTTAAACCCATTCCCCCTTGTCCTGTCACTACAGACCCTTGTACAAAGTCCCCCCCAGCTTCCTTGTAGCCCCTTCAGGTACTGGAAGGCTGCAGTATGGTCTTCCCTACTTATCAGCATGAATGTGTCACTTAAGCACTGTTAAATTAAGCACATTTAACCTTTTGTTTTCTAAAAAAATTGGCAATTTATGGCAAACATCAACCTGTATGACAGAAGTACGTTACCTAATTAGAAAGTCTATTCTCTGTTTTGGATTTTTTTAAAAATAGTTTTAGGATAATAGCAACTTTCCTTTCTTGGGGGCAGGGGGAACAAGCAGGAGCTCATGACAGCATTATCTTGGAAGAAACCAGCCAAAAAGTATTATGTTTAATAGCATCTTTTCCCTTCCACAGGACTTCCTGACCCATTTGCAAAAATAGTTGTTGATGGGTCAGGTCAGTGCCATTCAACTGACACTGTGAAGAACACACTGGACCCCAAATGGAACCAGCACTATGATCTGTGAGTTGATAAATCATAAGTAAAAAATACTCCAGAGGTTTATCTAGCAAACGGGATGCAAGGGCTGGCACTGCAGCTTCGTTTTGGGTTAGCAAGAAGTCACATTTGCTGAGGACTGACTTTTTTTTGGCAACAAGAAATTAGCTGCTAATAACAGAGTGGTACTTTGCTTGTAGGTGTTTGAATTTGGAAGTATTTGTGTCTCTGGGATACAGCACAACTGCTTAGAGTAAGCTCTGCTGGAGCAGTGCAGTCCAGCTTGTAACAAAAGACTGTCCCTTTTAGTGATTTCTCTTCTTCAAATTACTAGAAACGTAAAGTTTTGGGCGTTAATCAGGTTGTTGTGTAGCTTTCAACGAGGCTCTGTAGTTAAATTCATGCTGCAGCAGTATCAATTTAACAAGCAGTAATGCATTAATAACACCATTTTGGGCTTTCTGTCTTTATAATAAAGCAGCAATGTACTAAAATGTATCAGAATTTGTACCAAACAAAACATAAATTCTGGGCAGTAAAAAGAGGTTATTTTTTCTAAAATTACTTTTCTAATATGTATTTTCCTAGATATGTTGGGAAGACAGATTCCATAACCATCAGCGTATGGAACCATAAAAAAATCCACAAGAAACAGGGAGCTGGCTTCCTGGGGTGTGTCCGACTCCTCTCCAATGCCATCAGCAGGCTAAAGGATACTGGATGTAAGAACAATTCCCACCTGGCACAATCAAGAACCTTCCATGCCTTGTATCTGAGTAGTGAATGGCGTTCCTACCCCCCCTCTGTGTTTTGTTGATCCTGCCTATTCTCATTTGCAGACCAGCGTTTGGATCTATGCAAACTAAATCCCACAGACACCGATGCTGTACGAGGCCAAATAGTGGGTAAGAATACTCTCAGCTAAACTTTGATTTTCTGGGGTAAAGATACTGTATGGACAAATGTATTAAAGAAGAAACGTGTAGTCATTATTGCTCTGTGCCTTAAGGCTGAGAGAAGTGGGTTAAGGCTGAGAGAGTTGGGCTTGTTCAGCCTGGAGAAGAGAAGGCTCCGGGGAGACCTTATAGCACCTTCCAGTGCCTGGGGGGGCTACAAGGAAGCTGGAGGGGACTTTTGACAAGGGTCTGTAGTGACAGGACAAGGGGCAACAGGTTTAAATTGAAAGTGGGGAGATTGAGATGGGACATCAGGAAGAAATTCTTCCTGGAGAGGATGGGAGGCTCTGGGACAGGTTGCCCAGAGAAGCTGTGGATGCCCCATCCCTGGAAGTGTCCAAGGCCAGGCTGGATGAGGCTGGGAGCAACCTGGGCTATGGAAGGTGTCCCTGCCCATGGCAGGGGGTGGCACTGGGTGGGCTTTAAGGTCCCTCCCAACCCAAACCAGTCTCTGATTCTATGATTCTCTGTGTTGTTTTTTCTGACTTCAGTGGGATTAAATTACATGACCTGAAAATTTTCATTGCACTCCTAGGTAGGAGTTTGTTTTCTCTCAGTTGATAATGGGAAACTATTAAAAAGAAGTTTCCCATTATCCCATTATTAAGAAGAACATCTGAATGTTACTGAGTGAAACTGGATGAATGTTACTGTGAAACTGATTGCATTTGGACCAGGGTGACAAGCAAAGAGAATCTTATGTAGAAAAGAGGATCTGGATCTGGAGGAGTTAAAAGACATTTTGCAAATTACTGTTTTAATACCTTCGACTTGTGTAACCCGCTTCCAAATTTCAACAAGGCAGTGCTAGTTTTACGGCCAATTTACTCCATCTTACCATGTTTTGCTGCCCCTCAGCCCAAGCTTTTCCTTAGAGACGCAGGAATACAGTTGGCAAGCGCCAAATTCTCACCGTAGGGATGACATCTAGTGGTGAGTCATTTCTTTCCAGCTTATTGCTGGATCCTCATGAAACGCAGATGCAGAACCTGACACGTTTGATATGTACAGAAATAGACTCAGCCTAAGGTTTGGCATGGTGATGCCTCTGGTTTCTCTTTTCCTTTTTAAAAATCAGTAATGCTTCAGGTTTATAGCAGGAGCTTTAGTAAGCCTGCGTAGGACATAGCTTTCCTTAATATTTTACCCTGTCTAAATGTGGGTCGTTTGGTTTTATGTTGCTTTTACAGGGACGATTGTCCTTTTATTATTAACTTGTGGGGTTTTTTTTTTTCAGTCAGTTTACAGACACGGGACAGGATAGGTACAGGAGGCTCTGTCGTAGACTGTCGAGGGCTTTTGGAGAATGAAGGGTAAGGATTTTCTTTACACTTAATTAGAAAAATGGTTTATATGTGGAAAGAATGTAATTAACACTAGAAATTTAAAATATCAATGTCACTCATGTATTGTCTGGGAATATCTATCAGGTAGTAAGGTTATAGTTGGATACTTGAGGAAAACAAGCTAAATTGGGTAGGACTTGATATTTTTGGTTAGCAGCGCTTCTGGCACCTCCATGAGAAATTTGGGGTATGAAAACATTAAGAAAGTGGCATATCTTGGGTTAAAAGTAGCAGTTCTTGAAGTAAAAGAGAGAGGGAAATGGTTATTTCTGCATTCACTTCTCTGTGATGGAAACTCTTGAAGTTTCCCCATTTTCAGAACGGTTTATGAAGATTCCGGACCTGGAAGGCCGCTGAGCTGTTTTATGGAGGAACCAGCACCGTATACAGACACTACGGGGGCTGCTGGGGGAGGCAACTGTCGCTTCGTAGAGTCCCCCAGTCAAGATCAGAGGCTTCAGGCACAGCGGCTTCGGACTCCTGAAGTCAGAGGTCATGTACAGACACCTCAGAACAGACCCCACGGACACCAGTCGCCTGACCTTCCGGAAGGCTACGGTAGGCGTTTTCCGGAACTATAAAATTGGCGTTTTTTCAAAAGACTTCAGAGAAGAATTCTCCTGTTTTAATATATAGATGTGGTTTACCTGTTAGAACATGCAGCATCCACGTGCATCTAATGGCCTGCGTTTTGGAAAAGGAACTAAGCAGTGCAGATGGAAGTCTTGAGATTGGCTAATTACCAGTTGGCTACGCCAGGATACACTGAGGGGTTGATGGTAAATTAAACATGAGTTTGTGGTATGATGCTGTTACAGAAAATGCACTGCTAATCTTGGCTGTGTATCTAGGGAGAACGAATGTAAAGAGCTCTTTAATCTAGAGCAGTAATGCTATTTTTTCCTTCCCCCTTGGCATGTTGTGTAGGTTTGAGCCCACATTTGAGAAAAGATCAGGGAAATATAAAAGCAACAAAGAAGCCAGCAGTACAGAAGATTAGGGAGGATAAGATTAAGGAGAATTTAAATCTCAGGAAAAGAGCACACCAAATGTAGGAGTAAAGAGATCCAGTTTGAGGGTTTGGGTTGTCTCAAAATCTAAAAATAAAAATACGACGCTAAAACACACTGGGGCATGGATTTGAGTTTCAAAAAGAACGCTGAAATGTGTTGTCAGGTATACTTGTGAAGGCTGTTTAAGGACAAAACGGTCCGTGCTGCCAGAGGCCAGGTGGGATGGCTCAAGTTCATTCGCCCGGCTCTGTCAGAAAGATAATATGCTGCTGGATTAACAAACTGTGCATTCTGGGGTGGGGGGGTTCAGATTTATAGTTAAGAATAATCTTTCTTCCTTTTTCATAGAACAAAGAACAACGGTACAGGGACAGGTTTATTTTTTGCACACGCAGACTGGAGTTAGCACGTGGCATGACCCTAGGATACCAAGGTACGTGTCTGCAGTTAAAGTCGTGTTGGTTTTGGGGGGCAGGTGTGCGGCAGTAAGCTGAATCTTTAAGAGCAAAAATCCGTTAAATGGCCTGTCTCAATTTCAAGGGAGACCTATGAGCAGAAGAATAATTGTCATAGAATCTTTTAGGTTGGAAAAGACCTTTAAGATCATCAAGACCAACCATTTTGGATGTTTCTAGACACCTTTTCACCAAACATTAAGAATGGCTCTTTTTGAAAGACGGAATTATCTACTTGTGATTTGTGTCAAACAAAAGGGAAGAAGTTTATGGAGTCCTTCAGGAATTCTCATTTGACAAATTCTTCCTAAAATGTTAATGTGACTTTGTTTTTTTGGCTAAGGGTACAGATCGCTGAATCTTACCTGATTTTTTGTTGTCGTATGAATATGTATGTATTCGGACTGCAAATTCAAGAAAAAAAGTGACTAGTTTCTTAAAACCATTGTTTCTTGAGTATTTAGCTTGTATCTTTTGCTCTAGTCATGCTCACTTAGGTGTAACTAAAGCAGAAATTCCTTGTATTCTTTAAACTTGAAGTGGTGGTGGGGTTTTCTGTGCTTTAGACCAATGATTTGCAGCTAGAAAACTTGAATCCTTCACCTGATTAATTTCGTAAAGCCTCTTTAAACCTTAACCTGCAGTTAATCCAGGTCTTTGTGACTGAGGTCTGGCGCTCTTCCTTGAGGAGCTCTGAATCTGGGCTGTTTGGCTGGACCACCTGCACACCAGATTGAACAGCGAAACACAAAGCTCGTAGCTCTCCAGCTGCTGTGCTGGCTGGATAATACGTGATTGTGATACAGGATATTAGAAAAATGATATGAACTAGTGCAGGCAAAAGTGTTGATAAAAGCACAGTGTATGAGAGGATATGAAAAACAAAGCTGAGGGGGAAAATAGCTGATGTTAGATTAGCTGGTATCGTCGGAAGAAGAAGTGACAGTGCTCGTTCGTTCCTGTTACTCGTGTCAGGCTCGTGCCTTGTCTCTTCGGGTGATGCTGCTTGGCCTCATGAAGGGTATTGCTGCTTCTCTCAACAAACATTAGAGCCAGGTTTTCAGGGCCATCACTGTAAGGGGACGCAGCGGTGTGTTGTGTGTCACAGGTCAGCCTTACTTCAGTTGGAGGTGGCTTTCATACCACCAGCTTGCACTGCAAAACACTACCCTTGGCATTTAGCACAGATAGAGGTTAAAACTCGAGGTAAGGAGATCTCTGCGGTACTTTCAGAGGCACAGCTGATGGAAACAAATGGTTACAACCATAATCTCCTTTAAGGAGCCTTACAAAGGCTTGTCTGTCTGCCACGAATCCCCTGCTGGCTTGTGCTCCCTGTGACACTAACGGAGCCTTTGGTCTACCAAGTGCTTCGACCTTTCTGAAGCCTCTCACTTTACCCATACCGATGCCGCCTGGTTAGATTTAGGTAAGGAAATACACAGAGTGCTGTCTTCAACGCTGGATAATAGATGAATCCATGCCAGCTGTTTAAAGAATACTTCACTTAACAAGAGCTTTTCTGTCTAAAAATCATCTTCAGGTTTCCCTCCTTCCTTTTCTTGCCACTCTTAGTATTTTCCTCTATTAGGGACCTGGGGCCTTAAGTGTTTTCCGTTTTCTGGGTGTAAATACATCCCACAGGCTGAATTCGAACACTACCTGAAAGTGAGTGACTACCATTAGCAGCACTTAGAATGATACACGAAATTTATCTGGGGTGAAAGTGCTGGTAAAGCTTTCCTGTCAGTGATTTGTCAGTCAAATAGTCAGGATTCTAGCCTTCTCTAATTAAAGAGGTGATTTTATTTTTTAGGTGATGTTAATATTTGGCTGCCTTAGCCTCTTAGCGACTGGTTGGTGCAGAGACCTTTGGTTAATTATGTGGTTCTTCTGCGCATGAATCACGTTAGTGTTAATGGGAATTTTTCTGCGAAATTTTTGCTGTGAAAAAGTGTCTCTTCCCCCTTTTACAGCCCTCAGCAGCACAGTCATCACCGTCATGGTGATGCTGCATATTGAAGTTACTTCTAAGCTCTTCGGCTTTGTTACTTTCAAAACCTTTCAAAGGGCAGAGGTGTCTTGCTGATTTGCTCTTCTGCCCGCGTACCACGCACACACAGGGAGTTGCACTGCTTAGACTGAGGATTCTAAAAAGGCAGCATTAAAACAGCTATTCTGTCTTTCCTCCTAAGACTTTGAGCCTAGAACCACTGAGTGCCAAATTCATTCCCCCCTCTCCCCTGAATGTAAATTGGTTCCGTCTTAACTTCATAGCTGCTTTAACACTTCGTTTGCTCTTCTCCTTAGAGACCTTAACAGCGTGAATTGTGATGAACTAGGACCTTTGCCTCCGGGTTGGGAGGTTAGAAGTACGGTTTCAGGAAGAATATATTTTGTAGATCATAACAACAGAACCACACAGTTCACGGATCCACGACTACATCACATCATGAAGTAAGAACCTTGCCCGATACATAATTCATCTCGTTTGGATTCTTAAAACTGGACATAAATGAAAGGTTTAACTACAGTCTAGAGTCATGAGGAGCTGAAAAACTGCGAGATAGTGATATTGAGGAGCAGATGCAACCAGTGCTCCCGTCAGGGTCCGAGCAGTGGTTCTCGGTGCTGGTCATATCTAAGCTTTTTGCAGAGACATTCCTAAAATGTTTTTATTGTGCTTTGCAGCCCTCAGGTTTAAGGTAGAGCTTGCTTCATTCGACACAACACTGATCTCTCTAAGCTGGTTTGATAAAATTGCCCCATGCTGTGCTGGAGCGAATATGCAAGTTCTGGAAATGCTGGGCTGTGGGGTAGAGGGTCTGCCAGGCTGTTTCACAGCAGCCAGCTCATGCCTCTGGATTAGCAGTTCTAGCTCTGTGCTAGCTATGCTAGATCCAAACTGGCTTCCTGGTTCCTTGAGCTCCAGACAACAGGAATATAAAGCCAGCTGGAGTCTGGTCACCTGGTGCTGTGCACAGCCAGCTCGGGTTTAGCAGGATTTGATAAGCTCCAGTTCCGCATCATGCAAAGGCAGCCCAACTGTTCGAGAACTGACCCTGGGAGCAGCCTGGCAGTGCTCTTTCTGCCCAAGACCAGACTTTTTCCTGGATTCCAGTTGTCTGTGCTTGAAGCCAGCTGGGAAATCTCTGTATCTAAAAAATCATTGCTCCACAACCCAAATAAAGCACTGACAGATAAGGATTGTTGCATGTATGAAGCTACAGCTATTTGGGAGAAGTACATCCTTCTCCTTTAATAACCGTAGCTGCAATACTTTCACTGTGTCAAGAGTCTCCAGCCTTCCTCTCCATGGAGCTGGAATAAAATTCATTGCAGCTGTTAGATGGTTCCACTTACCAAGCTGCTGTTTGTTTCATTAGAGCTCTCTTTTGTTGTGTCAGGCTCTTGAAAGTTGTCTCCATATGGGAGAAATACCACACAGACTCTTGAGTTACTTCTCAGTCAGCATTCAGCGATCGTGCTCCACAGCCTTCCGCAATGTATCGCCATGTAAAAAGTGAGCTGAGAAATGCTGAAACTCTATTGCAAATGCCTGCATTCCTTACTTCCCTAACTGCAGGGTAGTGGTGCTGTCAAGTCACCCAGCTGAATGTACAGTTCATGCCAGGTTCCTCATAGAGAAGCTCAGTCAGTTCTTCCGTCATTGTTTTACAAATTCCTTTTTATTATGCCACTAGAATAAGTATTTTACTTTCTTTTCAAAGCCATCAATGCCAGCTGAAAGAGCCCAGCCAGCAGCCCCTGCCAGCTCCGAACGAGGGGTCACTTGAAGACGGCGAGGAGTTGCCCGCACAAAGATACGAAAGAGACTTGGTACAAAAGTTGAAAGTTCTTAGACATGAGCTCTCTCTTCAGCAACCACAGGCTGGTCACTGTCGCATTGAAGTATCCAGAGAGGAAATATTTGAGGTATTTGATTGACTTTTTACTACTAATAGCAGCTTTTGTCACTCAGGAGTTAAGTAAAACTGATCTGGGAGTATAGCAAGTTTGCTTCACAGGAGAGGTGGTGAGTACCACCAGGTGTTAGTGAGTTGTCAGTGCGATTTGCTTCACATCAGCACCTAAACAGGATAATGTTTGCTGTAGTTGAATTGCAAACCGTGTATTACAGTGATGCATCGTAGTAGACTTAGTTATAGGAAGGAAATAAAATGTCTGATTGTAAAAATATGCGTATAGGAATCCTACCGTCAGATAATGAAGATGAGGCCAAAGGACTTGAAAAAGAGGCTGATGGTGAAGTTTCGAGGGGAGGAAGGCCTGGATTACGGAGGAGTAGCAAGGTGAGATGTGGGGGTTTGTCTGACACTTTTTAGCTGTAAAATTGCCCTTAGTGACCGGTGGCTGATACCATTCCCTTTCAGATGATCTGTTAACGGTGTGTGTAAGTTATCTGTGATCTAGTTCATAGGAAGTGGGTGTAAGGTTCACTCTCCATATCATGGTAGGTTGGAAAGTGGAAGCATTTGACCACAGTTGTCCCACAGCCCTCCTGGTGTCAAGGGCACATACTTAATGACTTGGTATGCCTTGTATTTGGGAATATTACTGGGATTAACGCCAGACTGAGGTGTTTCAGTTTACCCTCTTCTCCATAGGTACTCTGTTTTCATCACCATTACCCAGTGAGTGCCAAAGGCTTGTTTAGGATAGGCTATTGATCTTACTGGAGAGAGTGCTGATCCCAGCAACAGGCCCCAGTTTCATATGTGCAAGTGTGATCAGCTCAAGTTGTAAAGTCTTTCAAGAAGCCTACAGACTCTGAAATAAAATCCAAATCACAGCAAAGGTTTTGTTAAACGCAGCTGTCTGACTTCCAGCGACTGGATTGCAAGACGATAGGGGTTCCTTTTAGTTACGTCTCAGCTACGTTCTGGAGAGTCCCCTGATCTGTCGAAGCAGGAGTAGAAATCCTAAACAAAAGCTAATGTTTTAGAGAAGACTTGGTCTCTCTTAAAAATAATTCCCTGCGGGTCGCACCAGATCTGACGTTTAGGAGGTGATTGTAACCTCATCACCCAGATACTCACCTTTACAATGGCTCAGACGCATCCTGTAACTTCACCGAGAGATTTCTCAAACCCACAAAAGCTTCATCACCCACTTAAGTGTCTTTCAGCTGGACAAAATACAAAAGTTGGAGCATTCTGAGCTGCCTTACCCAAGGCAACCGTGAGCATCTCCGCTGTTGCCATCCCGTTGCCCTGGTGGCTTTCACAATTGCCCCTTTGCTGCAACAGACTCGAATCAGTATTGCCCTGCTTCTAAGCACTGAGCTTGATGGTTCTCTCAGAATATTTTGAACCTGGGATGGCTGTCCAAATTTAATAATAAAGGACTGTTTGTCATGGTGAGTTGGGAGGTCAGAAATAGCCTTAGTTCAGTTCCAGTCCTTGTATGTTACTGAGATGAGAGAATTTACCTGACCCCTCCTCTCTGAATGCCTTTTGTCTCTCTGCCCGTTCTGGGCTGGTCTGCTGAAAGCAGAGATTCTCTGGTCATCAAGCATTGCAGAAAACCAGCTTTTCTGAAGACTGCCAGTGCCTGCAGTGGTTTTAAACAAGAGATCTTTGCAATATTACTTGATCTCTCCAAATACCTGAACTCTCTACAAAGTCAAGATTTTTGTGGAACTGGGTCTTGTTCAGACGCAGGTTGTCGATGGTGCTGTCCAACAGCTTGCTGTAGCCTCTCTAATGGATGTTATTCTCATCAGTACTGCTAACTAAAACCGGTCTGCCTGTGAGTGGAGTAAGGCACTCTGTGGGTTTTTAAGCATACAGTTTTGGTCTGCAAACGGAGGGCAGTACAGGGTGACCTGATTTTGAAATGGGCATTTCAGAACTGGTAATTCATAGAATCTTAGAATGGTTTGGGTTGGAAGGGCCTTTAAAGACCATCTAGTTCCAACCCCCTGCCTTGGGCAGGGACACCTTCCACTAGACCAGGTTGCTCCCAGCCTCATCCAGCCTGGCCTTGAAGACATCCAGGGATGGGGCATCCACAGCTTCTCTGGGCAACGTGTCCCAGTGCTCCCCACCCTCTGTGGGAAGAATTTCTTCCTGATGTCCAATCTAAACCTCCCCACTTTCAATTTAAACCCGTAAATTCACAATGATTGTGTTGTCTGAAAATATCAGTAGAAGTTGCCCCCTTCTAAAATAACTTGTTTTGGTTTACTCTGTTGGCAGAGAGTGGTTGTATTTACTGTGCCATGAAATGCTGAATCCCTATTATGGACTCTTCCAGTACTCCACGGATAATATTTACATGCTGCAAATCAATCCAGACTCTTCTATCAACCCTGTAAGTACTAACTTCTGAGCGACATGCAGAGCTTACCAGATGGCCCCTGCCGCTTTTGTTGGAGCTGTTCTTCCGTGGCGAGACTGTAAACTGAAGAGTAAAGCAGAATAAGAACGTGTTAATGAGTCTCACATTGACACAGTATGAAGCAGAGGGGGTTTTGTTCAGAAATCAAAAATGTGCCACAGGAGGGATCCTCCGATTCCTTCAAGACTCCTTGGTACTGGCTGGGATGCTCGGTGATTCCATCAAGATGTATGTGGGTGAAATTCATCTTCGCTGGGAATGCAGACGGTTGTGTCAGCAGCGCTGCATCCTAAGCCGCGTCCGGCCCATGACCGTGAGGGTTTGTACGCCTTGCTTGCCCTTTCTCAGGAAGCTGCTGCGTTGCTTGTTTTCCTTGCTGGAGGATCTGTATTGATGCAGGCCCTAAAAGGAGCGGCAGTTCTGTGTTAGTACAGCGGAATTTTTCCTGACATGACATTTCCTGACATTTGCTCTGTAAGATGAGGGAGATCGATGGGAAGAATCTCAACCACGGGACTTAGGCCTCGGTTCTCAAAAGTCAGTTTGTAAGCAACGTGGCAGACAGGAAGGAAGCGAGCACATGGCCTGCTTCCTCAAGAGCAGAACAATTTTGATGGTTAAAGAAAGAATAAGCTAATTTGTTTGGAATTGTCATATCTTGGATTCTGGGGGTTTCATGGGGGTTGTTCTCTTCAGGAGTTTTGCCTTTTGAGAGGTCTAGAGGATTTGTATCCAATTTATTAGTCAGGTAATGCTCAAGAGACTCAGTCGAGGCATTTAATCACGAGATATTTCCGTTCTTGGCTGCGTTATAAGGGAAAACGGTGGCTCCTCTTGCCCAGAGAGGCAGGCAGCTGGCACGGCACGTAGAGCTGATAGGGTGGATGTAACCACAAGATGTCAGTGTCTTCCCACCGCCTGATTTTCCTCTCCGCTCTCTCCCCGCAGGACCATTTGTCTTATTTCCATTTTGTTGGTCGGATAATGGGTTTGGCTGTGTTCCATGGACACTATATCAATGGGGGTTTCACGGTTCCCTTTTACAAGCAGCTTCTGGGGAAGCCCATTCAGCTATCCGATCTGGAATCCGTTGATCCAGAGCTACACAAAAGTTTAGTGTGGATCCTGTAAGTAGCTTTCTATTGCCTCGCTCTAGAGAAGATGGGGTACAGTTTGTTGGCAGTGATGATGCTGGATAGAAAACGTTTGCAAAAAGCTTGTAACGGGGGAGATCTGTACAAAATTAGGAAACTGCAGTTTCTATGGCAGAACTCTCAAGGTGCTTGAGGAAGAGTTTTCATTGCAAACTCGGTGTTAACACTACTGGCAGCAAAGTAGATACTGAATCATCACACGTTGCATGGGTATGGTGGAATATCCCAGTCTCAGAACCCATTCTCAGGACAGTTCTGAGGGGAAGTACAGCTTCCTCGTACAAGAGAAAGCCAGCTTTGATTAAAAAGTAAATAAATTGGAGTAATTTGGCCTTCTGCACATTTACGGTTCAGAACAAAATCCACCATTCAGTTGGCTTTGTGACTCTTCAGCTCTGCTTTGTGTTTCGTTACGGCTGTCGCTGGGATTCACTGCACGCTGTCTCTTCCGTGCTCCACACCGACCCGTGACAGCAGATCAGCTTATTGCTCTCTGTGGGTGTATATAAATATATATTAAAATAGCATACGTCTGTGTGGGTATGTGCATCTGTGTGTGTAGGGTTCGATTCATTACGGTGATCCTAGAATTAGGCAGGTGACTCGTATCTGGTCAGGCTTTTCACCCATTAAGCTGTACAGAAACCAGTGATTGTGGCAATATTTCGAGTGGTGTGAAAGGCAGATGGCTCGTTACTAGGCTTATCCTCAGGTCTAGGTGTTCAAATAGCAAACTATCAGCGTTACCAAAGTACCAAAAATACTGACTTTCACCTTTTGTCTTCCCATTGCCAGAGAGAACGATATCACCCCCGTTCTGGACCATACATTTTGTGTGGAACACAATGCTTTTGGGCGGATTTTACAACATGAACTCAAACCAAATGGCAGGAATATTCCAGTGACAGAAGAGAACAAGAAAGAATATGTCAGGTATTGCAGAACAAAAACACATCCTGCAAATGTAGTGGAAAGAAGGTAGTAGATAGGTGAATTTTTTCATATGGTGAAACGAGTGAAGTAAGTATTTTGGAGGGAAATACCCGAGTCATAAATGACGTGAGAGTTTTCACACGATGCTTTATTGCAACACCTGGGGCCATGAGGCTGTGAATTGTACTTTCTTTGTTCTGTTGATGACGCAGTAATTAATTGCTTTTGGAAAAAGAAACCCATAAGCACTTCCTTCGTAATAAATGTAAAATAATGTGTATTAAAACATGTTCCTCCGTAAAACAAGGAGCTGTTCTACATTTTCCAGCTCTGCTATGAAAAGCCCAGTCCTATCTAGCTCATCATCCCGGACTTTTTCCCCCTCAGGTTGTATGTAAACTGGCGATTTATGAGAGGAATAGAGGCACAGTTCCTGGCTCTGCAGAAGGGTTTTAATGAACTTATTCCTCAACATCTCCTTAAGCCTTTCGACCAGAAGGAACTTGAGGTATATGTTTTATCCACATGGAATATTGTTGTGTAATTTGTTTGATCCACAATCAAGCGCTGGTTTTAAAACCAAAACAAGCCCACCCACAAAACTTACTCCAATTGACAGACCAGAAAGCTGTGTATTTGCTTAACCAAGGTTTATTCTAGACATTCTTTGGGTTAACATTATTCCGGGGGCTCCTTAAACAGGGAAAGACAAATACACCATGTATTCTGAGCAGGGACTAACGCTCAAAGCAGGTGGTCCGGGCAGGGAGGGAGTACTGCAAGTCTGAGGAGTTGTTGGCAAGACCTGACACGTTGTCTACCCCAGAACTTGTTTTCTTCAGTCGCTGTTTTCATACCTGGCTGTTTCTACATGCACACGGGGCTTGGTTTACAGGGACTGAAATAGCCGTGTAGAGCATACAGAAATGAATTTGTCTTTTCATTTAATGCTGAGATGCAGAATGCTACCGCTTAAAATAATTCCTGTTACTGCAATTTGTCTTCTGATTTTGCCTTTTTTTTTTAAAAAAAAAATAAGGCAACCTGTGGAATATGGACCATTTGTGGTATTGGAAGCGCTGGCTTCGTGCTTGTTGTTCGTGCTTGCTGATTAATCCCACGGAGTTACTGCATTCCATTTGCTAGCTGCTTGAAATGGCAGATTAAAAAGTCGTTAAACATTTCAATACTGTCTGCGTCAGAACAGACCCAACTGTCCCAGTAATGTAAATGAGTGTAAGTGGGGGCTGTCTTGGTGGCCCAAAAAGGCAGCTGCTAAATGGTAGTGCTTAGAAATGTGATCCTCAATGTGAAATATTATGGGAAATTTGGAATATGATGCACGTCTTGAGGGGTGAAGCTTTCTCTGTGCCATTTATTTGCCGTTGCCGGGGGAGGTGGTCAGATTCGTAGCGAGCAGTGACTTCCTTTTAAAGTATTTCGCAACCTGGTTCCATCTGAGATTGAAAGAATATGTCTGGTCTGTGCCAGAGCCTCTCACAAATGACATCAGAAGGCAGATGCAAAGTGTTGGTCGTTTGTTGTGGAACAGCACAGCAGTGAGGATGTTACCGTAACCCAAGCGGGATCCTGTCACGGTTGGTATGGGCGCACTCTGGGACAGCCCTGCATCAGGAAAATGATGTGTAGTGCAGGGCTGCTGGGGAGACTCTTGTGAAAATTCTGGTTCTGGTAAGTGTAGCCTTGGCCTCAGTTTCACTACAGTCAAACTGGAGAGTTTTAGTGCCTGTTTCGAACCGCTTTGGAACGTTACCATGCACCAAAAATGTGGTTCAAGCGCGTAAAGAATGCTCAGCTTGGTGAAACCGTTGATGTATCTTGTTAGAACTGCAGACCTGTTTGAGTGCTAAAGTGTTTCCTGATCCCTTTACCAGCTAATCATAGGAGGCCTGGATAAGATAGACCTGAACGACTGGAAGTCAAACACACGTCTGAAGCACTGCATGGCAGACAGCAACATTGTGAAGTGGTTCTGGCAGGCAGTGGAAACGTTTGACGAAGAAAGAAGGGCAAGGCTGCTGCAGTTTGTGACCGGGTCGACACGTGTCCCGCTCCAAGGTTTCAAGGCTTTACAAGGTGACTGATGTGGAGGCCAAGTTAATCTGTGGTGGGAGAAAGAGATAAAAATCACATGGGATTTACTAGCCCCTTGTAGAATATCAGCATGTTACTGGATAAGTCAAGCACTTCCAAGCTGTAGACCCCCAGAGCAGTTTTACGTCTGTCAGCAGCTCTGCTGACGGCGAACACGTCAGCTGTTGCTGACCAGGGTATGAGCTGCTCAGTCTGTCAGTGCGTGGCACTTCAGTGTCAGTTTTAGCTTGGCCATCTCCTCCACGTCTGTGGCCTGGTGTTAAAAACACTGCACGCAAGCACGCACGGGACTCTGGAGTTGACCAAACAACTTTTCCATCAGAAAACCATATTCCTTTCGTTGTTTGGCAACAGATCATTAGACTGCAAAACAAGTTCCTGAAAATTGCAATTTTTGTCATCAAAAAAGGTGGCGGTGTCCTCGGCTGTCGTGCTTCTCCTGGTAACATTCCATCTGTTGGCTGACAGTGAACTGATGTTCACAACTAAAATCCATAGTTCTGTTTTACAAGGAAAACCTTCTTGCACTTTTCATGTTTGAAGGTGCAACTCTGTTAATAGAAAATTTAGCAGCTCTCCAAAACGCTGGCCAGCAGATTCCTTGTCATGAACAGCCCCGTCCCTTCATCAGCTGCAGATCTGATCCGCAGATGTAGCCTATGACACGCTTATGTTTGCAGCTGGAACTCTGATTTTCTCTCTCGCCTTTTTATAAAGGCAAGATACACACAGATACAGATTTCATATGTATTTATAGAGAGTATAAACATATGTATTTTACAGCTAGCAAATCTGTGGGCATGCGTGATGTTTTGTTGAAGTGCATTAACTAGAATGTCTGTCTGTAAGGTTCTACAGGCGCTGCAGGACCCAGACTGTTTACCATCCATTTAATAGATGCAAACACAGACAACCTTCCAAAAGCCCATACTTGGTAAGCTGAAAACATTCTGCTTCCTCTGCTTGCTTTCCCTTGGTCTTGGTTTAAGGGAGTCATCCCTGTTTGTCCTGGGTGTGGACTAACCATGGGATATGCACAGATGACTCCAAGTGTGCTTTGCCAGCTTGGAAATACCTGTCCTCTGCAGCCAGCGAAGTAGTCAACTTTTCCTCTTATAGCTTGTTTTGTCTTCTGCACTGTCTGTGCTTTTGGTTTGTCCTGGAGCGGATTACGCTCGACAGTGAGATGTCTGTAAGTTTATTTCTACACGTTCAGCCAAAGGGCTCACGGAGAAGTGAGTTGCAGTCCCTGTGCAGGATTCATAGAATCACAGACTGGTTAGGGTTGGAAGGGCCCTTAAAAATCATCTAGTTCCAACCCCCCTGCCATGGGCAGGGACACCTTCCACTAGACCAGGTTGCTCAGAGCCTCATCCAGCCTGGCCTTGGACCCTTCCAGGGATGGGGCATCCACAGCTTCTCTGGGCAACCTGTCCCAGTGCTTCCCCACCCTCTGCGGGAAGAACTTCTTCCTGATATTTAATCTAACCCTCCCCACTTTCCATTTAAACCTGTTCCCCCTTGTCCTGTCACTACAGACCCTTGTAAAAAGTCCCCCCCAGCGTCCTTGTAGCCCCTTCAGGTACTGGAAGGTGCAATAAGGTCTCCCTGGAGCCTTCTCTTCTCCAGGCTGAACAAGCCCAACTCTCTCAGCCTGTCCCCATAGCAGAGGTGCTCCAGCCCTCTGAGCATCTCCGTGGCCTCCTCTGGACTCACTCCAACCAGTCTATATCCTTCTGATGTTGTGGGCTCGATTGCACGGAACCGAGCTCTGGGAGGGCAGTCTCACCCCGTCGGAGACGGGAAGCCTGGTCAGCAGCAGCACAGGTCATCTGCGGGCAGAGCAGGGGCCAGGCCTCTCGGATGGTTTGCTCTACTTGCGGGTCTCCTGCACCTGCCTCCCCACAGACGCTGCCCTGTTCAGTCCTGCTGCACAAGGACGGTTGGTTTGTATCCTGTCTCCTTTGGCCACCGACGTGGCTGAGGTTTTTACAAACCCCATGTACTTCTGTTTTCAGTGATTACTGTAGATTCATGTACTGCAACGTGTCGTTATTTCACCCCCAGCTTTAACCGGATTGACATCCCGCCTTACGAGTCCTACGAGAAGCTTTATGAGAAGCTGTTGACAGCTGTGGAAGAGACGTGTGGCTTTGCCGTCGAGTGAAAAAGCAACCAAAGGCAACAGATGCTAGCTCATGGACCACCCACTCAAAAGCTAGAAGAAGCTTGCTGTGAACTTCCTGCTAAGCTGTCTGAAGCATCGGAACTCTCGACAACTTAGAGATGGGGCTGTTTCCCTTCCGCCGCTGGTGGATGAGGGTGGGGGTGGGGGCTTTTGTTGGTGGTCCCAACTCTGTTTTTCTCCCCTTTGTTACGATAACCCCTTCCCTCTTCTTCCATCCCCCATGAAACGAAATGAGGCCAAGTTCAGCATTTGGCTTTGGTTACACAGGAAACTCTGCTAGATTTGTAACACATATTGTGATAGGGTCAGTGACCTGTGGGGGTTTTTTTAATAAGAGAATCAAAGTGTAATTAAGAATGAGCTTGATTTGCTGAGGACCTGCCCCTGGTAGGCGTACCAGGTTAGTTTGTCTGAAATCAAGCTTGAGCCCTTGTAGAGTCCGGCGGGTGCAGAGTGTCTGACTGGCACTGGAATTTGCGTTGCACATTTTAAACACCTGTTTAAAAAGTAAAACTTCTAGCAGAAAATACCTCCATATGAACATTGAACTGAAAGGAAAAGAAATCCAAGCTCTGCCTTAGCAGGAAGCTCCCAGTGGAAGCTGTGGCTCACCGTGAGAAAGTGAAGGAATCTGGGATGGCTTGAATGGTATTGTACGATTTCTTTTTGGTTGTCCTGGCCGAAATCTTAATTGTTTTGCACATGAAAACAATGATTTCCTCCTGCAGAATTGCTTCCCGTAGTTCGTTCGGATGTAAGTACCTTGCGGAAGAGAAGCCTCGTAAGGAGACAGAGGCTAAACCTCTGTTCAGCCCCAAAGCTGTGATTTCTGTGCCGCTGTTTTACCCGAAACGCGTTTGTCCGACTTCAACTTCCCAGACTGGCATGGAAACGGCCAAAAGCTAAGCAAACAGAGCAGACTTCTGTTCGGAAGTTGTTGGCCTCGGGAAAGGTGTGTTGGGAGGTTGAGGTGAAAGGGTGACTAGAGAATTGGGTACGTTTTAAATGCTACGGAAGGCTTTTGGAAGAATTTATGCCTTCGGTTCTGTAGGGACAAAAATTTCTCCAGAGAGCCATATAAGGCTATTTTTTAATTTTTTTTTTTCAAATATCTGAAACTAATATTAAAAGATTTGTTCTCTAACCCATCGCTAAAACGACTTCCCAGGGGAAACAAAAGCAAATCAAATACCTGAATCACTAACGTTTTTCCCAGTTTGCGCACCACAACCAGACGCTGTTTTAACGAGGAACTCGGCGTCGGAAAGACCCTGTTCTCTGTTGGTCGTGTCTAAACTCGGAGGTGAAGCAGGCTCGCTTGTATAGGATGGGTTCTTTTGTCTGGCAAGCCTGATTTTTAGAGCGACTCATTACTGAAACAATTAACAGATGTTACGTTTATGGCATAGTGCGTTGAGATTGAGCTGTGGGTGAGAGATCGTTCGTGGGTGACGTCTACTGGAACACTTCTATTTCGTCTCTTTTTTAATTGAATTTGATAATAGCTTTAAACTGTGATAGGACAGAAAGTAGACACTTGTCAAAACCCTGGCATCTTTCTCTTGTTTTGTTTGTGCTTTTCTGGTTTTTTTTCCATTGACCATAATCCTTGTAATTTGTCGTTGGGAGTAAGGATTGCATTTGAGGTGTAAAATTGTACCGTCTTGTGAGATTTGCCCGGGGTGGCTGAAGATGCTCACCCTGCAGGACTGTACAGGAGAGGCGTGTTTAGACCCATGTTCCGTAGGAGTCTTTTTTTTGGCACTTGGGGACCACTTTCTGCAGCGCTGGTTGTTGGGATGGGGATGAAACTGTGTGGCTCTGGAGGAAAAGAGAGGAAATGCAGCTGTCTGCAGAGAAGCATCTGCAGGGTCTTGGGCCGAGTAGCAGAATCCCCACAGCCCCGGCTTTTCCCCATGGCTGTGAAGTCGTACCTGTTCGTAGAGTGTAATTAAGCCTTTCAGTACGTGTGAATGTGCAATAAACCGGTCGGATAGGGAAAAAAATGCAAAATGGATTATTGCCCGAAAGCTTTGCATGCAGTCTCATGTGGATTTTTCACTAAAAAGAGTTTAAAAAAAAAAAACAAAACCCAAACCCCCAGATACCGAAGCCCACCACTGACAAGAATCCTGTCGCGCAAGCTCTGGAGGGCGGACGTCGAGGCCCTCGGGTCGGAGATCTCTAGGTCGAGTCGCTTTATGTCAGCGACACGGTTGACATCCGGTAGTCCCCAATGTCTTTGCTAGGTCAGTGTTTTATCGAATGCACAGAATAAGAATAGGCAAGGATTGGTGTTTTGAAGAGTCCGTCTGTTTTTTGCTGTATTTAAAAGCCCTTCTCAAGGTACCTCCTCCACGCTGACGGTGACGAGAGTGGGGCAGTCTTTTGAATTACTTCAGTTCTCTCCTGAACAGCTTCGCCACCTCCCCCATCGTGTTGTCTTTGCAATTTTGTGCCACTTCAGCCACGACGAAGGCGTTTTTTGTGGTGTTCTCTACGTGCATCTGGGGCAGGCCTTCAACTGGTTGGATAAAGCGGAGGAGAACAAGGTGAGGCAGAATGGGTTTTAAGGGTTGGCTTGTTCTTCCCGTGGCTGGCTCCAAGGCCAGGGAAGGGTGAAATGCAAACAGGAGTTTGCATGGCTCGAGCCACTAACTCCCTGGGGTCTCGGGAGCTGTCGGGATAACCTCAAACCGTCTTGATTTGTGTGTTCATTCCCACCTGGTCTGCCAGCACTCGAACTGGTCGTTACTTCTCAAACTTGCCCAAAGAATAACATCAAGTCTGCTGTTCATTTTGTCATTACGCGTTCCGCCTTGTGCACGGATACTCTTGGATCTGACCGGAAGGAAATACGAGGTACAGTGTGTCTTTTGTTCCTGTCCTAAAGGCAAACCTAAAAGCCAGCCCCTTGGCCCAGCCCTTCAGTGCTTGCCCCAGTACTGCTCATCAGCCTATACTACGCTCAGGGATGTAGGAAACCACCACTTTGCTCGTGTTTTAAATCGGGAAGAAATGAGACCGTTTTACGGACGTTAGAGTTAACTTGGGCATTACGTTAGACGAGACCCTGCTTCAAAAAGGCTGCTCGACGCTCCGGACGGGGAGATCGGCGTTTGCTCAGCAGTGTGGGCTTGGTTCAAGTCGAGGCGGTTACGAAATCCAACAGATTTTGTAAATCAGCGATCCGGCCACCGGGCCCTCCGGAGCCGGGGCCCAGGTTCAGGGCGGTGTGGCACAGCAAGTTCCCAGAAACACAGTATGGATCTGATTTTAATTTGTTTATTTTTTTTTCTTTTTGTTCCTCAACCACTTTATAATGTATTTTTTTAATTTATTATTTTGTAATGTCATGTTTAAGTATTGCTGCTATCCTTGTTATTCTTCCCACTGTTTTTATTGCAGATTTATTTTGTGAAAGTTGTACACTAATATTTCATTTTATGTCTAAATCAAAGTATTTAAAGAAATACTAGTTCTATTTAATGTGGTTATGGAACCAGCTGGAATAAACAGTGATTGTATAGGAGGCTGGACCCAGGAGGTCATGTTCATTTTTGTTACATATGCAATAAACTCACAACTTTAAACTCTTGATATCCACCACTCTGTGTGTTAAAATATTTATGGAAGTCACGGGAAGATTGATTTGCTCTTAATGAAAGGGTGTGGTAGCGCTGTGCTCAGCTGGAGATGGGGCGGAGGATAACGACAGAGCGTTAAAGGCTGCAGCGGCAGAAAAATGTTGCTGTCATTGAAATTTCTGTGGCATTGCAAAATACTGAGTGAGGCAGAAAAGATAAAACCCAGCTTGTCTGAGTTCAGGGCGGTGAAGCTGCCCTGGCGTGGGCAATGACCACGTGAATACTGAGCGTCGGTGTTTTCCGGCCCACGCTGTCCGAGTACCAGCATCTCCGCAGTGGGATCCTGGCTGCGGCGGGCAAGATACAGAAATGCCGCTGATTTAACAGGTCTGTGCGGACAGCCCTGACAAAAGCCCTCCTTTCCAGGTAGAACACTTAGCTTCATTATTTCTTTAACTGCTTAATTACCAGCCTTAATCATTTTCTGCGTCCAGCTGTGGGGCCCTCAACATCAGAAGGATATAGACCGGTTGGAGCGAGTCCAGAGGAGGCCACGGAGATGCTCCGAGAGCTGGCGGCCCTCTGCTGTGGGGACAGGCTGGGAGAGTTGGGGGGTTCAGCCTGGAGAAGAGGAGGCTCCGGGGAGACCTTATTGCAGCCTTCCAGTGCCTGGGGGGGCTACAAGGAAGCTGGGGGGGACTTTTTACAAGAGCCTGTAGTGACAGGACAAGGGGTAATGGGTTTAAATTGAAAGTGGGGAGGTTTAGATTAGATATCAGGAAGAAATTCTTCCCGGAGAGGGTGGGGAGCACTGGGACAGGTTGCCCGGAGAAGCTGTGGATGCCCCATCCCTGGAAGTGTCCAAGGCCAGGCTGGATGAGGCTGGGAGCAACCTGGTCTAGTGCAAGGTGTCCCTGCCCATGGCAGGGGGTGGCACTGGGTGGGCTTTAAGGTCCCTTCCAACCCAAACCAGCCTGTGATTCTATGATTTTCCTTTCTTACCTTATTTGTCCTGTTATTTTTCCAAAACCTCATTTTTCAATAAAGAAATTCTGACACAGACACCCCCCCTTAATGAGAGTTGGGGAAAGACTCATTAATGCTGATGAAGCTGCTTTCCTGTTTGGTTGGGGGGGAGTGTTAATTAATAGTGTTTTGCAAGTGAAGACAGACCGGTGCGAGTCTGAGGACGGCGCCGGCAGCGATGACCCAGCAGACCTGTCCCTCTCTGAACCTGCCCGCTGCGCCTTCTTTAATCTGTGCTTTTTTATTCGTTTTTTCAAAGGGGGTGAGGAACAATTCAATATTTTTTACTCTTTGAGTAACTTCACAGTATGACCAAATGCACTGACGAACAACAAGCAAACGGCTGTGGAGCTGGTTTGCCCACCC